GACCTACTTCCACATTTGGATTTGTCAGGTGTGATACCACCTACGACTGCTTCACCTCACCTGTCTACAGTATATTAACCACTTCTTCGCATATATTCTGTATTCTTTTCAAGATTGATGGACTGATTAAATCGAGTCAAGGCTGAGGGACTGATTACGTCAAACTCCTCTTGTTCTTCACCGTTCTCCTTTGTATGGACTGATGAAGCCACTGTGTGGCGAAATGTTTACTCAATATAGATACCCAAGTGTTGCATATGTGTCTAATTTATCAACTTGTCGGTGGTTCTCTGAGCCATTTATCTGCATCCTAAATAAACTGACACAGAGTCATGTGATATGTCTTACAGTCATGTGACATGTCTTACAGTCATGCGACATGTCTTACAGTCATGTGACATGTCTTACAGTCATGTGACATGTCTTACTGTCATGTGAAATGTCTTACTGTCATATGGCATGTCTTACAGTCATGTGACATGTCTTACAGTCATGTGCTATGTCTTACAGTCATATGGCATTATCTTACAGTCATCTATGCAGCTAAATTTACATGATCACACATAAAAAAAATATTTTGGAAGCACCTAAATGTGCGAATAAGTCTTAATTTTTTAACTTAAAAATGGCACTACAACTTGAGGTGTCACAGTCACAGAGCAACTGTAAAAGGACACAGTCAAAGATGACAGAGTTTAGCAAAAATATAAATGATAAGGTAATGACTGGAGATACCTTTCCTATACAAAGTATTCACATTTAATTCCAACTTTGCTAGGGTAAGATTTACGTATACAGCGTATTCATCTGATATAAGGAAGTCAAATTCAGTGGCAGTGGCAGTGGCTAACGCTAGTCCTGACAGAGAAACAAAAATTATGACATTGGCTGACACATGTAGTGTCCTCATATTTCCAAATCAAATGGAAATATGAGGACACTCCAGCCAGGCACGTTCAGCCAGGTAAATCCAGTCAGGCACGTCCCCCAAACATTTACTGGCCGCTTTTAACCCCCAACAATTTATCGACCACTTTAGTGGACGATATTGTTAGATATTGACTACTTTGTGGAACCCTGATCTACACCAAACAAGGCATAATCTGGAATATCACGGAACATTAGGTATTGCTTCATCTCATGTTTTCCTGTTAGAATTAATCGTTACTCGTAAAGCATCGAGTGTTTTCTTGCTTAACCTTTCAGATAAGCCATCACTGGCAGGATGGTCAGGGAGAATAGTTGACTTATTCATCTTGTATTAAGTACACAACTTCTCAAGGATCTCATTGTGAAAGTCGCCTCAGTTATCCGTGTAATACGTCTGCAGATAATTCATTCTTTAAATACTTTAGTTACTGTCTCTGCAGTTTTATCTGCAATAAGTACTAACTCACAGTGTCATATGCAATGATCATCCATTACACATAAATGCTAATTACATTAGAGGGAATGCTAAAAATTGATCAACAAGTCAAGCGTTTACTCTTTCCCATACTTCACTGGTAATAGCATAAACCTGAATGGGGTGTGGGCCTCCAACATTACCTTTATGCTTCATGCATTCTCTATACTTCTTTACATAGTCAGAAATATCTGTTGCCCTACGAGGTCAAAAATATTCAACCTACCTTGTTTAATAAAAGGATCCATGCCAGGGCGAGCAACACCTAGTCATCATGAAGCAGTTGCAAGGTTACATTCACTTGAGACTTTGGAATAACTAATTGATGTACATTTCGACTAGGAATACTAATCTCATTTACAAGGTACAACAAATTTTGATTCATGACAAAGTCACTAACTGAAGCTGGTGGTTTCACAGAATTTGATTGTACTTCATCAGAAATTTAATTACACCTGACTATGTTGGATCTGTTCGTTGAGCAAATTTAATATCCTCTGCACTGAATGGAGGACCGATAACTGCACCAATGTGGTGAAACAAAGAATCTACAACCACATTTGATTTGCCGAGTAAATGTACAAAGGAAGCATTGAACTCCTGTATGGTTAAGGTTACTCAAGGACCATCCTGATAATCGTCCAGTAGGCTGTTTATTCTGGACCCAAGGATTTAGTGGAGTGTGATCTATGAATAAATGGACTGGGTACTGGTAGATGATATCTCGGAAATGTTTTAAAGCCCAGTTACAGAATAATTTCGTTGGTGTTTTGTGCTAGTACGGCACCAGTGTCAATAGTACTACCATCTGTTGTCAGGTAGAAAGATTTTTTTTTTTTTAATTAGGAAACTTTGATACAGGAGCAGAAGTTAGCTAATCTTTTAATGTCTGGAATGTTCTTTCTTCATGGAAGATCCAGGGTAAAAGAGCATCTTTCTTAAGCAATTCAGTATTTAGTATTGGAAACTTTAATACAACAGTTGCTTTACTTTGGTCAGTCATAACCCCTGTAGGAGTGACTAGGTGACCAAGCAACTTGATCTCTGATCTAAGGAGCTGACATTTTGAGAGCTTTATCTTTAGATTTGGTAAATGTACCAAATCTACTCTCTTTAGATGCATTTTCATATCTTCTGATATGACGATTACATAATCTAAGTACACTATAAAGGCACTACCTACAAGGCTTTTAAAATATTTGTAAATAGCATTGAAAATGTGATAGGGGAGAAGTGTAGTACAAATGCCATTTTAAGGAAATGATAATAATGATCTGTAGTGTTGGAGAATGCAGTTAACTCTTGACTATCCTCGTGGAGATGGACTTGCTTAAACCCTGGTGAGCTGGATTAAGCAAACCAGGTTTTTTGAACTGAAGGTCATCATCAGTGACCTTTCGGTGTGACTTGGTTGACCATCCCAAATCTATAATGGTCTCTGTTTGCATGCATTATGCATGTTATTTCTAAATAGACAAGCCAGCAGCAATTTAAATAAACAGTGATAATTAACTTACTTTAGCTAAGAAATAAAATAGGTCAGAAAATGCTTTAAACTGCTCTGAATCGTCGAAATTTGCAATAAAATAGCGATATAGTACATGTTTCTTAATTTTTAATAATTCACACATTTATAAAAAAAATATTTAAGAAGACACATAGGTGGACACACATACCAACAGGTACAAGACAAATAAGCCAGTAGACACAAGACACAAAGGTAGATATGCAGGCCAGCAGACAAGACACAGAAGCAGATAGCTGGCGAGCAGACACGGAATATATAGGCAGACACACAGTCCAGCAGAAACAAGACACGGAAGCAGGAACGCATGCTAACAGACCCAAGACGTCGATGCAGTCACACAGTGCAGCAGACACAAGACACAAAGGCTGACACACAGGTCAGAGGACACAAAACACAGAGGTAGATACACAGACCAGAAGACACAAAATACAGATGCAGATGCATAGGTCAGCAGACACAAGACAGTCTGGTAGATACAATACACACAGTCCAGTATACACATGACACAGATCAGCAGACACAAGACTCATGCAGATACAAAGCCCAGCAAACTTACGACATATAGACAGTCTAGTAGACATAAGATGGACAGGCTGACACACAGGTCAGCAGACACACAGCACAGATGCAGATACACAGTCCAGCAGACTCAAGAGACACAGTTCAGCAGACACAAGATGTTCAGTCTAGAAGACACAAGATACAGTTCAGCACATACAAGAGAAATGCAGACATAAGGCAGACACACACATGCCAGCAGACACACAGACCAGTAGACACAAGACACAGTCCAGACACACAGACAAAGCGCTCTCCTGCTCACGTCTCTAAAAATTATAGCTTATTTCGTACTCATTTCCGGGCCGTTGCTTCGAAAATCGCTTTGGACCCAGGGGTAGAAATATTGCTGGAGAATGTGATGCCGGTCTTAAGTCTAGGACCCCTACACATGTGACCTTTTACAGTCTGGGACCCCAAATATATGACCTTGCCATCTCAGACCTCTAAATATGCGACCTTCGTAGGTCTTCACCAAACAGTTCAGCACAAATGACATTTTTTGTACTATGATCTTCAGACTCATCTAACAATGTATCTAATAAAGATTTAATAGAGAGGTTCTTAGTGTTCTTGTGTTCTTTCATCAATATTGATGGTATCAATATACTTTTACAGAAAAATTTCTAGGCCAGCATGGTAGAGTGGTTAGTGCACTGGCCTGCTAGCTTCATGACTAGCCTACAATATGTTTGAATCCTGCTTGTTGCGTGAGCTGTTTACAGTTGCTTTATTAAGATTTTGCGAGTCGTTTCAAATCTTTATCAGATCAACGAATTGAATTACTTTATATGCCATCCTATCCATCTCTTTTCTGTACTTAGCTCTTCCGAGAATTGACTCTTAGTTTCGAACAAACAGCTCCTACTCCCCCTGCCCACCATCCTTGCTCTATCTAGCTCCTACTGTCTTTCTTTTTCCTTAACCTCACATAATTATTTTCCTATCATTCGCTGACTTGTTTCCCAGCGTTTCTCTGGTCTTCTCCCACATTTTTCTTGGCCTTCTTCTTGCCTTTCTATGACGTTCACGTCTGTCTTTCTTGTAACTTCCTCATAATTTCCCCTATCTCCCTCTATCTTCTCCTTCAATCTCTCTCCCTTTTTATACTCCATCCTCTTACATTTTCTTCCCTTCTCCTTTCTTTCGTCCTGATCCTGTCTTTTTTCTTTCTCCTTCACTCGGATTTTTTTTCTTTCCTTATTTACCTCGTTTTGCCTTTTTTTTCTCCCTCCAAGTCTTCTCCCCCTTCTCTTCCTTGTTACCCTCTGCTTTCTCTCCCCCCCTCAAATTTCCCCCTGTCATTCCCTGCCATCATAGACTACGAATATTACAACGCCAAAGATTTTTTCCTGCGATAGTTTTATTGACCAATTTACAATATTTTTACATAAATTTGTACGAAAATCTCGTTTCAGCAGCATATTAAATTGAAAGTATTGTGTGTAGCTGTTTAATGACGAGATCGACACCATGCCCAGCCCTTCTAGGGTAGGGTAGGTGCCTGAGCCCGAGCTCTCAGCTCACAAGACTGTCATTCCCATTAGCCCCCTTGGGGAGGGGATGGCAGACCAGAGAGGCCTAGCTTGTGGCTAGGTCTGGGGACAGTTGGTCCCAAAGATGAGGGGGTACTTGTGCCTCCTCCCATGGGAGACTTAGGTCTCAGACACTCCCAGAGAGGGAGTCAAGGCCGGGCCACCACTTGGTAAAGGCCCGGGCCGGGAGAATACCGGCGAATCTTTAATAATAATAATAATAATGTTTAATGAACTGTTGTTAGTAGGGGAAAAAAGCTGACATAACTGTATGTTGTTTGGAAGAGTTTTCTACCCCTGTAGCCCACCCTGAGGCCACGCTTCTTTGTCGGTTCATCAAGCTGTTGGTGTTAGCAAGCCCACATAGATATCGCAAGCCGATTAATCAGGTTAGTGATGAGAACTAATACTGTTGACTATAGTATTTTATTATCATCGTTACGTAATTCATTCTATAGCTGTGTGTGTGTGTGTGTGCGTACTCAACTAATTGTACTCACCTAATTGTGGTTGCAGGGGTCGAGACCCAGCTCCTGGCCCCGCCTCTTCACTGATCGCTACTGGGTCCTCTCTCTCTCTGCTTTCTGAGCTTTGTCATACCTCTTCTTAAAACTATGTATGGTTCCTGCCTCCACTACTTCACTTCCTAGGCTATTCCACTTGCTGACAACTCTATGACTGAAGAAATACTTCCTAACGTCCCTTTGACTCGTCTGAGTCTTCAGCTTCCAGTTGTGACTCCTTGTCCCTGTGTCCCCTCTCTGGAACATCCTATCTCTGTCCAACTTGTCTATTCCCCGCAGTATCTTGTATGTCGTTATCATGTCTCCCCTGACCCTTCTGTCCTCCAGTGTCGTCAGTCCGATTTCCCTCAACCTTTCCTCGTACGACATTCCCCTGAGCTCTGGG